ACACACACACACATACACACACACATATATATACACACAAAACATAAGAGTATCCGCGGAGACAGCGAAGCAGAAACATAGACACAAATACTTTACAATGTGTTAGTGTCAGTATATCTTCTGCGGACTGACGACGGAACAAGCGGTACGCAGAGAGCCGGATCGATCGTTGTGATGAGGAGTGGAGGAGTGGAGGATGGCGCTGTAAGTCGTCGGCACTGATGCCGACCGGCAAGCATGCCATGATGACGACTGCTCAGTCGGTCAGGTGCCGCTGTGTTCAGACGACACCAACAACGAGCAGATTTTTTTTCCTTCATCGCTTATATATATATGAACTATTCCATTCTGTCGTAGTACGTTTGTGAGCAGCTTTCTGCCTTGGTCCTTGCTATTTGACCTTGAAGGATTGATGCGTTAACAGATATATCGTTGTCCTGCCCATCTCCATCAATATATACGTAAACGGCATGGATTGCTATTTTTGGAATGGGATATGCGTGCCGGAGTATAAGGAGAGAATTATAGGAAATTAGCACGAAACAGCGCGAGTTTCGAAAATTGAGTAAAAGGAAAATATTTTTTATTTGTTTAATTAAGACTTATGAAATGCAAAGCGCAGACAAAATCACTTCCAGCGTGATCATTATGGAAGTTTGAGGTCAGTAGGATCTTCTTAGCTCTCTGTTGGTTACTATTCGAAATGGCTCACCCATTAATTTAGCATATTTGTCCAAATATAGTTCATTTATATGAATGAAAATTTCTGAATTTTTCAGACATTCTAATGCGTTCATTAGATGAGCACTAGTTCCATGATGTCATCGAAGGGCGGACCAGATTCCACATTCAACGATAATTTAATTAGGGAAGTACGCCTGAATCCAATAATCTATGATTTCTCTCACCCTTTATATGGTAATGCGATCAAAAAACAGGAAACTTGGATTGAAATTGCTGCCAAACTTAATGAAAAGGGTTAGTTAGGAATAATATTCGTAATTCGAATAATATTCGTAATTCTTTTAACTTACAAAAAAACCTGACAAAAGTAGAATTATTGGAATTGTTGCTATACTTCAGTAGAAGCTGTGAAGACTCGCTGGCGTACTTTACGCGACCGATATACGAAGGAACGTCGACGTGTGATGACATGCGGTGTCGGATCATCGTTTTCTTACTATGCTGATCTCTGTTTCTTGGACAACTGCAACGAGAACAGGTTTCACAGATGCCATTTCTTATTCATTGTTTAACTCTCAGAAAGTATCGTATTACCTATCCCAGGGTGGAACGTTTAAGTAGCTCTTTAAAGAGATTCTTGTATTCTAATATTTCACCAAGCTTTTCAAGTGAAGTGCCTGGAAAAATGTCTTTATGTCTTTTTTCTAATTGTGATATTTCATCAAGTTTGAAGTTTTAGTCATGAAAACTTGAAATTTCCAAACGGTAATTGTTCTACAAATATGCCATAATTCCATAATTGTATAAAATTGAGTTATGTGTTAAAATAATTGTTAAAAATTTTTATTCACTCAGGATTACGCCATCAAAATCTAGCAAAAGTAACCGCAACAATAATGATAAAAATAGCAGCAATACTGCAGCACATTGCGATGTTACGACATCTGTGTTTGTGAAACCAGAAGTTTTCGAGCACTCATCCGACACCAGTTATAGTTTCGATAACAGGTTTTCATTTTCTCTTTCCTAACAAACTTCGGCAAGGTAAGGTTTTTATAATAGCTGCAATTAACATTTATAGGATTTGTAAATAAGAAAATTGGTTTGCTGGTAACAGGAAAGAGTTAGAAATCATATTGATGGTTTAAAAAGTTAATAAAATGAATCAAAGAAGCCAATCTATTATTTTGGATTTCATATCTCACAAACTTTGCTGTTGTGAAAATAGAATTTTAGCAGTTCCAAAGCTTATTTTTGAGGAGTCTTTTTTGTTCGTATATAGTTTCATATTTTAGATGAAAATATTTGTGGAGTAGCAGCGTGTATGAATCTTCAGAGTACTTTATTATTTTCTTCCCATTATTTTCTTAAATTTTCAGGATCAGTGATGACACGTTAATGGAACAAGAAGAAGCGATCCCTTCTTCATCTGGACCGGAATTTTCGATACCAAAAAGGCAGAGAATTCGAAAAGCAAGTCATAAATCTCCAACGCCACCAGTAAGCTCAGCAACAACAACGGCTGTAACAGAAATAGCAGAAATGGTAGCACTGGAAAAAGTACCAATAAAACGTTCTAGACTGGATTCTTCACCGGATTCGCCATCAGACACGGTTGCGAATGCGTTGATGCGTAGTGTGGAAGCATTGCAACATTTAGCGGAACGAAAGCCCGTCTTTGACCAAGCAGTTAGTCCTCGTGATGCCGACGAATGCTTCGCCGATTTTGTTTGTATGTCGCTGAAGTCAATTGATAATAGCAGTCGAGTGCATGCTCGAATTGCAATTCTCCATGCTTTGGCACAGTTTCAGACATGAATGATAGTGTCATATTCATGTGCTTTTGTAAAAATAACTGGGTAGCTTTTCGAAATATCACTGATAGAGTGTATGGATAAGCAGAGCAATGTTTTACAAGTTAAGATTGTTAGGATTGGTGGATCAGTTTGCAGCAAAGATATTTGTTGTTTTTTGAATATTCGGCCAAAAAATGTTCGCAAAAGTCATCGTAAATATCAGTAATTAAGTATTTTAGGTATTTGTAACTCGACTTTACTGTAAAATTGTTCATTTCCAATATTATTCTTTTTTCTTTTTCCTAAAGTCATTAGGAACTAAGTTCTTCGTGTTTGCTTCCGGAATTTCACCTCAAAATATAATACGTTAAAGAAAAGGTATATTGTGTTCAGGTCCTTGTTTCGTGGCTATTTGATACCGTTTTTGGATTGTTTTATCCCTCTTTTCTACATCGAAATAAAGTTGATACACCACTGACTGCTTATAAGAAAAATGTTTTCCGTGACGATCCTGCAGAAGCTAAAAATGAGTTGCAATTTCCAGCAAAGTTCACGGGAATGGATTGAACCACTTATTTCTGTAGTGTGGTGAATCTCATAGTTCTTTTATTCTCCAACAGATCTAAAAAAAATGCTGCATTTCACTATGAGATAATAATGATCAATTTGGACAGTTTGTTGTGCACGATGAAAATTTCTTAATCTTTCTGTGGAAGACCTATTTTAAAAAGTCCCCATTCGGATACTTTTTTGATACATCGACGCAGTGAGTCCTTCAGTAACCGTGTTTTGTGATATTTTCATCTAAAGTATGACAAAAAAGATTTGGGAAATAATTTGATTGCTTCTGACAAAAGGGCCAATTGCACACTTATTTGTCCGTTATACAACAAACCAAGCACATCTGCCATCTCCGCAGGTTTATTTCACTTTATCATCAAAGTTTTACAATAAAGAGAAAGAAAAGATGCAATATAATAGATGTATTGCCATTACTTTAATTGCTTTTGCATGTAATAGAGTACTGCCATCAGTTTCTGAATATAACTTTTATGGGAATACTGAAATTCCTGACTGAATTGCACGATTTAAAACTTGAAATAAAATTAATGGAGAATACAAAACAGGTTGTCGATTATTGCAATATACAAAACAATATTTACCAAGAAATATTTCAATAATTCGAAATTATGTATTTCGAGTAGATGGCTTAAGTGAGAGTTTCTGCTTCGGAGTTCGAACTTATCAATAGTGAGACTAAGAGTTGTTTTCCTGGGATATCATGTTAGAAGACAATGGAGCGTGATCTCACGATATATACCATCTTCTCGAATTAAATACAGCACCACTACTGCTATGCTATAAGTACTACAGGAGACAACCGAAGTTTCAAACTGCGAAATTCAAATGAGCAATGTTGAATGAAGACTCTTGCGTTATAAATGCGCATTTCAGATATAGCATATCACTGATGTGTCCGGAATCATGCTACAGTAAAACTTGGTCTGGAATTATTTTTTATTACAGTGGCAGTTTCCTTCACAAGTGACGCAAACGAATTCCGCAATACTGTTGGATTCATTCAAACTTTCATCACTTCCTTTCGCTGATGATGACGATGATGACATTGAAAATAACAATGACTGTGATAATGACTGATTGCTGCTTGCACTTTCAGGCGACTCGAATAATGGCGGAATATTGTGAAAAATCGGTGTTGAATGCAACTGTGGCAAGAAGTTTGCCGATGGTCGTCCAAATTGGTGTACATTCATTTCTGAAGTATTTGACGATAAAGACTAATTTCTTCTTGGGATACTGTAGAATGACCTCCGTGAATCTTAACACTTTGGCTTCATTTGGATTTAGTAAACATTAATTAAAAATCATTTTCTTTGTTCATAATCAGGAAAAAAATTTGAAATTCATTCAAATTTCTTGCGAAAAATTCTAGCTGAATAGAAGTGACTGACTTAGTAGAATCCGTAGGACCTATTAAAGTTGGCGGTTCAATTACAAATAGCTTAATCATCTGATAAAATAGGACAATTTAATAGACCCAGTTCTGTTTGCATGGTTCGTATGTAATGAATTTAAAGATTTTGCAAGATAAAAAAGGAGTTCATTACGTTTTACACTGCTTCCATAAACAGGTCGCAACCATTTCATCGACTTAAAAGACTGGTCAAAAACTGAGGCCAGTTCCGCATTGACCGAAGCAACCAATGGCGACGAAATAGAAGGATAACACCGATTGTAGATAAATGACGTGGTGGCTTTCTGAGCTGCCTGAAATCCATCCTTGAATCCCATATATGCCATCTTTTCTGATCCTGGAAACAAAACTGCTTCTACATTAATAAATGGCTTAATTAAATTTATGTCATAAAAAATCGGCTCCAAAGGATAATTTTTTGGAACTGTGATAAAATTCAAATAGAATTTGAAACATTTATATTTATTTGAAAAGAAGCAAAAAAGATTCGAATATGTCTTTAAAAACAACGATAAACTTCACGGGATCCATTTTGCCAATATAGCCTGATCAGCAAATCACCGGATGGTCGACCACATAGAGATCGATTGATCGCAATTTAAAGTTGTGACGAAAAAAATGAATTATTGCAAAGTATTATTGAGAGCCAAATAAACAAAACCGTGGAAAAAGACCGGGATTTCTTTCAATAATAGCAAAGTGAAGATAACTTCAAGAGTTACCGTTATTTGCGAGTTCAGAAAGAGCTGACAGTGTAAAAGAGTGATGAATTTTCAAAGGACTTTATCTCCAAAATATTTAAATTTTATGCAAATATTAGTAGACAAATAAAACTAAAAGATTTGAAATCCGAGGGTCAGAATTAAGAAGTTGGATTTCACTCAAGGTTGATGCATAATGTTGTGTTGGCCAAAATATAATCCTGTAAATACTTATGATGATTTCTTCTGAATTTTAAGTACCAAAAAAAATGTCACGCCTAATTGAAATTGAGCAGAAAATATGAAATCTATATTCTAATTTTAAACTTAGAAAAAGCAGATCAAATTATTCTGAATATCCTATGACAAAATTCTAGCGTGTTTTCGTATTTGTAACAATAAAAAGCCTATTTCCAAACATTGCCTCTACCTCTCCTTTGATCATTACTAACTGACTGAAGATATTTGATTGTTAAATCCAAAATTTCAATTTTTTCCACTTTTGATTCAGTTTTCGGTGATTTTATCAAGTGAAACATTTTGAGTTGATCCAAAGAAGCATTCATTCGAGCTCGTCGGCGACGTTCGATTTCCGCTTTACTCTGTAAGAATGATGTCAATTTCTACATTCGATTTTTAGAAGCATAAGTTAATCCTGAAATTTCAGCCAATCGGTTCTATTTTATTCCAGTCTCCTGATGAAAAACCAAACTGACAAACTTGTTTGATCTAGGGTAGAATAAATCACGGAATAAATACTTCCTTTTTTAAATTATTATTTCTCGGATAATTTGGACAAACACAAACCTCAAATCACATCCACAATCTAATTTTTAATTATTTTCCGGATTTAAAATCAAAATTTCAGCAACTTGCTACTTTCTAATTTCAAGTTTTTCAATCTAAATGTAAACAGTAATTCAGACATCTAAAAAGTTTCTAAACAGTTGTTGTTCGCCATTTTGTTATCTCGAAGAGAAAGACTTGAAAGAAACTATTGACCAGATTTCTTTACTGCAATTGATTCAATTCATTTTTCCGCTGATTAAATCAACGAATAAATAAGTTGAATCCAAGCAATGAGGGATTAAATTTGAATAAAGAAAATTTAAAATTAAGAAAGAAACAGATTGCTGACATTTTGGATTTTATTTACACAAATTCTGCTCTTTCTATATTTTTTTACTGATTTTTGCAATTTTTCGAAAGTGAATTCATGGATTTCTGCAGAAATATAAAATGAAATTTAACATTCGATTACTAAAATTTCCCACAAGGGTCGGCAAAACTTGAGCTTACATCTGGATTCGTTTGAAAAATCGATTATTTAATGGACAAATTCGGGATCAAAAACAATACCGAACGAAGTTAAGCATGTCAAAATATGTTCCTGAACAATTCATAAGTTCAGAACAAGAACAGCTTCTGAACAATGTCTGAAGCACTACTATGCATTATATTGCATTGAAGTTTATTTCTTCCTCTCACATTTGGACTATTTAATGCTCACAGGACATCACTCCAAATAATCATAAAAAAGTACCGGTAAACAATTAAAATGACTCGAACTATTCACACTCAAATCGTCTGATTTCATTGCATAAATTCTAAAATTAAAATATCTTAATCATAAGATTCAAGTTCGAGTAAAACTATAATTGAAAAATTACTAATTATTAGCTATTATATTGCATCTATTTATGGGATCCAAGCTTGAACTGATTTCTACATAACTTAGTTAATTTCCAAGTAACTAGCCATATGATTACGATATTCGGTTTTATGAGACATCAAAAATTTGTGGAAATCTCAGATAATATAATTTATACGAATTTACCACTCGAATATGAAGCATTCACCGATACAATACTTGGACAAATAAGGAATCTTAAGTTTGACTCCGGAAAAAAAGTTGGTAACTTATACCTCTCATAAGATCGTTGTTCCAAGATTATTCACTAAGTCGGATTTGTACTTTAAAAAAATTGAAAAGAAAGCAGAGGGAAAAGTGGTAAACTGTGTGGAAGCAATGATAGGTTGGGTCGGTCGATTTAACGAATTACTGGGGGCGGTACGGGAAAATGACGCAATTCTGAGATGTCTCAGATGGATTCAAAAGAAAGTGTTTCCCATAACTCAGAAGTAACTTCAATACATTATCCGATTCACACCCATTATACTTCCTTAAAACAATGCTATGTTGACTGACTGTGATATTAGCATGAGAAACACGAGTTGGGTGAGAAAATGAGGTGGATGACAGTTGATAGGTATTCTGGGGAAGTTACTTCTCAGTTATCATTCCTCAGGGTACCGATTGCATCTCTACCTTTTAAGGTGTTTACTCTAATCTGTTTAACCAATCGATTTTTCATTGTAAAATTAATTTTCCTTATTATTTTATCGGTTGATTTCTGAAATCGTAGAATTATGAAGTAAAATTTTGCCTATTTGATACAGCCACCGTCACATTCTGACCGACTTTTTGAGAGCAAAGGTCAGCTTTGTAAAAATATTATCCATCATCATGTCTTATACATTGAAACAATTGTTGAAGGATAAGAAGAAAGAAACTCTCACGCCTCGGTGACTTCCCCGAAACTGATAGTTATTATTTGCATAGGGTAGAATAAAATGGATTATAATGAGCCTGAGTTGTGGTTAACTGCCCTTCATAAAAATCCTAAATATCATCCTGGACATTTCTTCAAATTGCATTAGAAGGTGAAACTTGCCTTTCCTGAATTTCAAACTTTGGAGATTTTTTTATTTTCATTTCCAGTTCAAATTTTTACAATGGGACTTTGGGAAATGAATGATTGAAGTCTGAAATTAGTAAATATCCACATTACGTATCACATGTGAGGATGCTATCTCACAAATTTTTGTTTAGAAAGGTGAAAATGGAAACGAAAAAAAATTTATTTACTATGGAGAAATGAGCAAGATAATTTAACAATAAAAATGAAGTAAACAAGAAACATAAACAAACAACAAATCAATTGAGGAAAGAATAGGAAGTTGAAAGAGTAAAAGGAGAAGTGATAAACAAACGGCAGCTATATTATTTGTTGTTATAAACAATTTATGATCCACAGGTTTTGGCCTAAATCTAATCATGATATTCTCTCTGTAATGGTGCCATCAACTGACAATTCATTTCCAATGCATTATTAATTTACCCAATAGTAGTTCCCAGTTCCAGAGAAGACTAACATTTAAAGTTAGGATATTTTCAAATAAGCTGACAGTGCACGTGAACAAAGAATTACTGTGAAAGAAGGACTGGCAGTGCAATAACAATGACAGAATGATCGAGATAAGCAAAAAGTGCAAAAATGGCGCTAATGGCTTCAGTATCATTGCCATTGATAAACTGATAATGCAATAATAACAAACGAAATTATGAATGTTTTAGTGGTCGCATACATACACACATATATAAATAAATAAGCATTTCGAAGTAATTTTTCGAATTCTGCAAATACAGCGGTATCAGCAGCCTAAGGACAATCGGGAAGTAAAAAGGCGGTGTTGTTACTTAAGCTTTCTGCGAGATCATTGTAGTCGTAGACAAGCATGTGAATACCCATTAATGTGGTCCAAAATCTCCCATTATTTTGAAATAACTTCCAATTATCATTATCAATTTTTCAGTTCCGATGATTTCAAGAAAAACACATTTGTAATGGTCTTATTCTCGAACTTTGTTAACATTTTCCATCATTAAACTTACGCACAATATCGGTAACAGAAACAAAGCGGTCGTCTTCTTCACTTAGCCCAGTGCTTACTGTATCATCCGAAGGATAGAGCTGACTTCTTGATTCGCTGGATGAGAATGATTCCTCACGTGCAGATAATTTGGCTACGTGTTCCAAACGATGCAATGGCACTGATTTATCGATTTTTTCTTCTGTCAAATTAACGTAGTAAAAGCTACGTTCAAAGAGTTACTTATGAAACAAATGCTTCAATAGACAAGGAGGTCAAAAATAAAGAAGAAGGGTCTGAGAAGGCAATCCAATGTAAAGTTGAAATACCTTGTACGGGTAAACGTTCTTTCACGGGAACTGTCACTGTATTGTGTATCGGTTGATGTTGCTTCTCATCAATCTGTGACTCAGAAAGCAATCCGTCTTCATCAAAATCCTCGTCAAAATCATCCTCGAATTTTCGTGATATGCTATCATACTGATCCGTATAATGCTCCGATGATTGCGAATAATTCACTCTATTGGATTGCATTAGCGATGATAACCTCAAATTTAATACTTTCAAATCAAACAAGAATAAAAAATTTTGAAATTTATTCTCAAGTGCTGAAAAAAAATCTCTTAAACCAAGTTTTCACATTTCACCATGTCGCCATTGCCAAAACAGGGAAATTATTGATTTTGAAACAAAAATCTCAGCCATTAAATATTAATTTTTTTTTAAATACTAATTAAAAAGCAAAATGTCGAGTAATATTGATAGTATAATCACCAAATATCGAAATGTAATACAGCGCCGCTATGATACAATATTAAAATATTAAATTTCCAGTGACGTGAAAAACTGCTTATCCCAACTACATCTTTAAAATTGTACATGTTGAGGTCAATTACTAGGTATCAGAATGCTAAAATATGAAATATACTGTTTGCACCTTTTCCTTGTTGTATTAGGCACTTCATATATGTCACCACTACCCGTTATAATCATTTTAAGTAATAAGTTGGGCGGTTTTATTGGTAATGGTGGTGGTCGTTTCAAAGGAGATGGTGCGACATTTACCGATGATTTGTCAAGAGTTCGCCTGAAATAAATCATTCCTGAATTGATTTTTTACAGAACTTCAAACCGGATAATGCAGCGGAAATATACCGAGATGAAAATGGCGGAGGCGGTGGTGGTGGTTGTGTGGGCCGCACTGTCGTCGACTTGCGTACGAGACATTCCTTATCATTGGATGCAATTAATACCGCTATGCCGCTTGAATCCAACTGTAAAAACAATTGTTAGGGTTCTTTCAAAGCGATGTTCTACTGCTCAGAACTGTGCTAATCGAATAGTGTCGCATGTGCACTAATGTACCTTATGAGGTATTCCAATGAAATGGTGCTTGGCTGCGACAATACCATTACCGGCACGACGTAATGATTGCGCGTAGTTACTGGTACGACGATGCCAAAAATGCCTACTTTTCGGACGGATTACTGATTTAAGGCTCGAAAGAAGTTGTAGAAGATTGCATACAGCACAGCTATAGTTTGTTAATGAGCAGGAATATCGTCGAGCAAAGCAGAAAACAACTGCTGTGATAAAAAACACAATAGTTATCCAACCACAAATGTACTGAAATCGATATCTTCCAAGATTATTGATAAACTTGGTATATTCATTGTTCTCGTTAACTAACAGTCCGAATAACAACATCTACAAAATCTAAGTATTGACTGTATTCTGGGAAAAGGTCAAGAAATCATACAAAAAACAACCATCTGTTTTTTGTATCAATTCGAATTGTGGAGCATAGCATGGCTTTTAACGTATTGTAGTATATTCACACTTTTTTCCCCAGAGTAATCTGCTATCCTCGAATAAAAGCGAAGACTGACCTAATAAAATCTAGAGGTCATATGCCAAACCCAACCAGAATCAATCAGCTATTTCAGTCTTCTTTTCAATAAGCTTATCATTAAACTTAGGAATGATGTTAAATAAAGTTACTCGATAAATCCATCCGCTTAAAGAGCCTACCGATTCCAACTTACCAATTGCCAGGTTTTCACAATCTGTAAACATTCATCGGCGCGGCAATTCCAATTATGGCACAATCTGTGCAAACCGCAATCACATTCCTCCTTACCTTCGATAACGCCGTTACCGCAAAGCGGCAATGAGTTTTCAACCCTATGTTGCGTAAAGAAGAAATTGATAGCCTTAAAATGCCTCAGACAACGATTTTTCTCCAGCATATTCACCATTTGTTGTAACGTGCAGTCGTGATCGTAACCTCTGTATAAGTTAATTATAAAGTGAATACCCTTGGAAGTTCCTTATCTTACAGCTGTTTAGAATGAAGTAAGGATGGTTTTGGAATAATTCTGGAATTGAACATTATTGAAATTGCTAGTGCAAATATTCCGTTGCATTTAAACTTATATGTTTGAAACTTCCTCGGTTTAGAAACGTACGGTATTTTAAGGCATCCAGAAATAGCAGCACTTCGACCCATTGGACAATAACAATTCGGTACATCGATGAGATTAGTTGCGTTACGGTGAGGTACACCAAGAAGATGTGCTACTTCGTGGAAAAATATACCGCCCATTGCAAATGGATTATGTGGATAAAACTAGAAATTAGCATTATCATCCTTTTCACTCAAATTAACTTCTCCCTTATTCTTACCGTCCAAAAATGAGGATTAAAAGTTAAAAGAAAATCAAAATTTTTACAAAATTCCTTCATTGAGAATTTTAACAAAATTCATGAAAAGATGAAATATAAACATACCCCGCACAACATAACAGCCTTTGAGGTACACATGCCATTAACAAATGCTAACCCACCGGCATAACGGTATGAAATTAAGGCAGCAAAATCATGAGTCGGTAATTTTGATATTCTATGAAAAGATATGAAATTTAAAATTAAACATGGCTTAAAACTTAAAATTAAAATTGTATTCCATTATCGATCTCCAAGTTGTTGTCGTTACTTTCCAACTAACCCCTTAATTTTCAAATTTAAATTAGTTGTATTATTTTTTCGTCGAAATCAGAGACAGCAGAAAAAAACACGTAAGAGTAGAGAAAAAAGAAATCTGAGGTAAGTAAGACTGAAATGAAATTACAAAGAAAATCCTCAAAGCTGGCTAACAATTTTCTCGGAATATCTCCTAAATGAGAGTAAGATTGAGATGATTTATTCCTCAGTAAGCTAAATTTACTTTGGATATTCCACGGTAGTAGAGAAAATGATCTACTACGATGGGATGAGACAACACGGAAATAACAAGCAGATCGAAATGAACTCTCTGAGAAAATGAATCACCGCTAGATGAAGGTGAGTGAAAGAGATTTTAGACTGTTGGAATTAAGTCTCAAAAATAAATACCGCACTTTTATCATTTGAAATTTAAAAATTTTTGCTGACAATAATAGCGATGAAAAGATAATAATACTTACCTCCGATTTCTGTATTCTTCAAAGGAATATAAACTGAGGTTATTACGATATGTTTGTAATATATCCACCACAATTATTCGAACATTTATTTGATAAAAATACTGCAACCAAAAACATAAATTCCAAAAAGATATGGCATAATGGTAACAGACTTCTTTGACGATCACGAAAAATTCAAAGAAAACTTACATTATTGGCTTCTTGAACCAATTTCATCACATCTCTCTTCATATTATCCATGCTTGAGCCATAATGATTAGTCTGTAATTGGTCATTTGTAAACAGCTGTTTTGAGGAATCCCCTTAAATTTATTATCAATCTAAAGGTCCATATCGGTAAAGAGTAAATTGAGGGATAAGTTGGGAACAGTCTTAGAAGAACATACGATCTTAGAATCAACGAAAATGAGGACGTTGAGGAAGTGTACATAATTATTCAGTTGAACAGCACTGTAATCCGGCGCCGGCTCACCCCATACGGCTGGCTCACGGCGTGATCGTCGTGATATATGGATTCCACGCTCATCCGTAATATTTGACTGAAAAGAAGAAAGAGAAAGTGATCGGTTCTGTAAATTCAATGGGATAAAAGCTAATCAATCAACCAATCACTTGGACATTTCAATTTGACTGCTCAAAACATCTCACATTGCTCTAAATCTGTGACATTTTATACTTTTCATTCATAAATACTAACTGTTACTGTCAATATTGCTGATGCTACTAACATGGCAGCTGCTTTCTGCGTAATCGCTCACTAACTGATAAAATTTATCATTCCATGAGTTAAATGAAATTTTTTGGTCCGCTTACCTCAAATGTAACATTAAAATTGATAACTAATTCAGCTGAAGTTGGGTGAAAAAATAAAATGATTAGAGGAGCAAGCAGAGATATGATCATTAGCATATCATTCATTAGTAATTGTATTAAGTGGAAATGATAATAGCGGATTGCAGTGATCGTTGTCAATGAGGTAAACTGAGATCGATGATTTGATGGGGAAATGAACTGTCAAATACATACGTTGCAATAACCATATTAAATCCTTAAATGAGAAAACTCATTTGAATTTTTTCCAGCGATAAAAGATTTTTTTAATTAGCAGGAAAAGTAGTAAATTCACTGGTCTTGTTTGAAGTATTTACTCACTAAAGATACATTAATTAATTGACAAAGGAAATGAAACTAATCTCTTAATATTGCAAGAGGTCATTTTCATTTCAATGAAATTTTTAAGGAATTCCCTATTTTCGTCAATAGTTATTATCAACATGAAGTTTTAGCATCATTGGATGTGAAAAAAACTTTGATTGTATACATATTGTTGTAATAAACAAGAAAGAAACTTTGGATATACGCACAAGCAATGATCTTTGCTATTAATTAATGCTAATTTTTTTGGATAAAACATCAAAACTTTGTTTGATAATAAATTGAAATGATAACAATGTTTGCAAAGATTTTATATATTGTGTAATGGTGTGTACGTAGCATAAATATCCTCACGTGAAATATTTGCAAATGGCATTATCAAAAAGCTAATCAATAACTAAATTAAACATAAATCGTCTCGTTTTTATTTATTTTATTTCAGAAAAGTGTCCATCAATGATCTCATCAAAGGAAGACTGATGATCGATCTTAGTAGAATTCCGGGATCGCGGAGACTCAAACTTATTGATTACACATTTATGTATTAAAAGCTGGAATTCATGGAAAAACTTATTTATTTACTTTTCATTCGGAAGCAGTGAAAGCCAAAGCAGTAGCGAATATCGTGGAAATTTAGTGTGGCCAATATCAACGATATAGAGGACAGTGGTAGCAGTGGACCGATGACAGTACACTTGGAAGTAATATACACTATAATTATTCTTCCTTGTATGGCAGCATAACGAGCAGGAAGATCGCTCTTCCGGTATTACAGGATGATGAATGCAGCATCAGTGCTATTCAGATCAGATAAGTCTATCTGATTATTAGATCTTGCATGATTCGTCCGGGATTCTTCTGAAATTTTAAAAATTTCGCAATTATGATTAATTGAAAATAAAACAGAATCTAAAAGAAGACTCCAAAAGTATTTATGTTTACCAAAGTCTTGATGCCAACGATTTCATGCAAATTTTTCCACTTTAGCTATATGTTATGAATGGCAATTGAACATCAAACGACGAATTTTTAGGTTCACATAAAATTCATATTTAAAGATAGGGTCAAATGGCAGCGTGGTTCAGTTGGAAGAGATGAACCGCTGTTGAGAGACAGGGACACTACTTCATGAAGAGTCTTGGAAATGTTGTTGGGCACAATCTTTTCTTATATTCCATGTTTATTTCACTTTTCCTTTTCCTCCTTTTTAAGAGAAAAGACGAATGCTTATTTTAAAAAAAGCAAAAACATGAAAATGTATAAATTTTCTTTTGGCAGTCATTTCTTTAGGCGAAGTTCAAAAAATGCGGGCTTTTTTCGAATCACACAAATACGAGCCTGGAATGATCAATTACGAAAGGACTGGCTTTTTTCCTCGCATATAGCTTGTAGTTTAGGCATAACAATTACTTGTAGCTTACATATAACAATTACAAAGGATCAAAATTAAAATGTACTTGCAATTTGTGCTAAGACTTTATTTGACTATTTCAACTTGGAAATCGTACATCAGTAATGAGCCGGAAATTTTTTTTTTACTCGAAGCTAAATGGTATGCGTCTTCTTGAAATTCATTTCTTCACTACTGCGGCGAACCTGCAGATCAGTTTTGGAGAAATTTTTACCGCCATAAGTAGATAAAAGCAATACGAAACTTGAAATTTTAGTCGGCAGAAAATATTTTAACATTTGAAGAACGTTGAAATTTGAAATTCAATAATGCTTCTAGTTTTTCAAATTTTTTTAAGAGTTGGGAGAATAAGTGAGACAATATATTAATAATGAAAACTTGAAAAACCAATGGCTTACGTTTTATCTGCAAAGATAAGTCTTTGAACGTATTTTACAGGTGCTGTTTTGTAGTGCGAGGAGTAATAATCACGGTACAGTGTCGAGATATCGCGAGATGTACTTTCAATAAACAACATAAAGTGTATATGGAGCATTTCGTATTGCATGAATTACAGAAGAAGATTGGAACTTCTTAGAATATCGAGATTTTCTGCATCTACACACACTGAGATATATTTGTGCAGGAGTTTAATCTATATATTGATTTGTATATTCACTTTAACAAAAAGTCGAGAATAAGAATAAAGAAAGCTAAAAGTTTGGATCGCAGTTGGCTTTTTATGAGACTAAAGGGATTGACTATATTTGATGCTGGAAATCGAATAACGAATTCTGGAATTGAATAGCTACTTTAAATTTATTATAATTAAAAAAGAAAAAAAAATTTGTTTAGCAAACTTTTATGTGAATATAAAAAGTGAGTATGCAATGATTTATTTGTGCAATGGACATGTTATATAAATTTCTTCCATAATATTAATGCTTCGATAATATAAAGCAAAGCAAAAATTTATGCTAATTGATGCAATATATTAGCTCTGTTGTAAAAGAAACGGTAACATACAGTTCGATGATATTATTTGCTTACATATATAATTTCGGGGAAAAAATCTCCAACCAAGAAAGGAAGCCTTGTGGAATTCAGTCCATCAAACTATTCTCTCCTTTCAGTACAAGGCATATATAATTATTCACTTATTATTTTCAAATTTTTAGTAATTCGATTAATGAAATATAAGAAACTGACAAATAAGTACGGAAGCACCAATGCCACATATAGTTGGTTCATTTAAGAAAGAGTGAGAAGATTTTAGTCGGAAAACTTTACTCAATTTACCAGAAAATTTTATTTTGAAAATTGAGTAAAAACAAATAAAACAGCAATGTTAACTTTCTAACAGTGCGAGAATACTTTCATACTCATAAAAGATTTTCAGACATGAAACGTTGGAATGATGTGAGAAATTCTGCTGGATTGGAACGACGGCCCAAGGAAAAGTGATTACCGCGATGATAGCTAAAACAGTGTTATCAAGTACATACTACCAAACATTCTTTAAATCTCTCAACTTTCTTCTTCGGAAAAAATCTATTTTCTGAAATGAATGCTTTAAGTCTCATTTGAGTACATTATTGATTCTTTCCTTTTCACCCATACAAAAAAACGACCTCGAAAATCTATGCATAAATAGAAAGAAAAAGAATGAAGTGAAGAAATTCTCCGAAAAAAACATTCATTTTGCAGATTTTTTGCCCACCAGAAGCAAGAGGTTTTTTCATTCATTTTTAGCTTTTATATTCCCTATCCGTGAAATGAAAGCCGAGGCAAATGTTAGTACTAAATGAATACAGCTTATGTTTATGTTTAGTTCAAAATAGTTCTCTACCGAAGTTTGAAAAAATAAACTTGCAAAAGTCGTGCAAATAATCGAAAAAGATGACACACACGCACACATATACACGCACGCACACGAATATACATTACAAAGACGAATATAAAAAATTTTCTATCCAAATTTAAGCCGAATCTTAGAACAGAACATTCGACTAAAAATTTTGCCTTTTCAAGTCTTAACTTGCAAATAGGAAAACTCTTTCTGGAAGTATACAAAACTGTGCTATCCGGGTCAGGCACAAGTTCAGGAGATCATCGCTTCTCCCCATTCCTCCCTCTTATTAATCTTATCAATGAAAAATGAAAAAATATAGTAAAGGACTGATCATGTAAGATGACTCATACATCTATGCAAATGTGTTTACTAAAGAACTAATGAGTCATGTCTGATGATTAATATGTATGTCACTTATCGCATAATCCAAAATCTAAGCTAACATGGAAAACATTTTGCATAACAATAAACATTTGTTTTTGGTCATTGTTAGACAATGCGAGAAAGGAAGAAGCATTAAAAATAATGTCTGACTTTACACATATTAATAAAATAATTCATATACATACTCATCCATGTCCTTCAATTTGTTTGTTAATTTTTTCAAAACAATTTCTATTAAATTTGTTTTTTGCAAATTATAAAAATCTCTTAATGAAGTGAAGAAAGAAAGTTGACTGAACATGAAAAGGCAAAATGAACAAACATTTTATTTATTAAAATGAAATGAATGACCATTTCCAAGCCTCAGAGATTTGGCAGTCTTTCTTGAACTTTTTCCTACCTCCTCTTTCCTGCCATCTTCTAAACTTGCAATTAATTAATCAGACAGTGATGGGAATTGATACCACTGCCTTTCTTACTTTAGTAATCATTTACTTGATGCAAAACTGCTGAAGACAAACGGATTAATGAAAGCTGATGACTAGAATTTTATTCATTCTTCCTCAATATATAATTCAAAAAAATAATATTCCTCAGGAGTTATATGTGGATATATGTATTTTCCCATACCACGTGTATTTTGAGTTTTTAATTTCAACTTGTGATATTCATTTGGCTACTGATAATAAGATTATGCTAATAATCCAATATTTTTTCTGCTGTGCCTCGAAAAAATATATTTGCTAAAGTAGGTTGTGAAACTAAGAAAAATCGAGTCCTTTTGGAAGTATAATTAGATTGAAAGAAGCACAATTTAAACTAATTGATACCCCAAGCCTACAATTTATTAATATATCTAACATTCTATTATTAATCACACTCTTTTCATACATGTAATACTACAATTTCAATCATTGTTCTATTTCTATATGATTATATTTTTTCGCCC